TGAGCTTTGTGGACATTAAGCCACTGATAACCTGGCAGTTAAAACATCTGTTCATTACTGTAGTAATCACTGTTTAAATATGTATGTATGAAGCTTTAAACACTAATAAACTAGCAATCTTATGTGATGCTGTGATCGACCGCACTGATAGAAATTCACGTCACAATCAGTGTGCTGCTGACTATGTGAATGTGTGAATGAGTCCGAACTATGAATGAACAGAGGGCACTGAATGAAAAGCAACAGTGTGAACTTTCTGACTCATTCTACTACTTTCTTTTTTTAAGATAAAGGTCATGACCTACACTGGCATGCATTCATATTTCTGCTCCACTAAATTGAAATATGGCCTCTATGCTCTGTAATGCAATGGCAACTTGTGGTATTGGAACTTTTCTTGGTAAACATACTTGGAGTTGATACAGTTGACAAGCTGATTCCACTTCACTCATGTGAAAGAGGTCATGAAGAATTATATTAAAATTTTATCACAGGAAAAAGCGTCATTGTTGCAACAAATGAGGTTAAGAAAGAGAGACGCTGGAAGAAAAGAGTTTGGCAAATTTGCAAACAAACATAATTATTTTACTATTTTTCTGCAAAGCTCTGAACTGCAGCATCATTGCTGTACTGCTCAATGGATTTCCATGAATCTATGCTCATAGTGAATAAAAGCTACTTTTAGGGTCACCACAGTGGGCAGCTCCACATGTTTGATTTGGCAGATTTTTACACCGGATGCTTTCCCTGACGCAATCCCCCAAAGGGATTTGTGTCTCCTCCCAGAATTCAACCAATCTGATCCTTCACTTGTTAGGAAAATATGTAACAACTACATGTAACAGCCACTCAATTTACAGCCCATTTTAATCCACAACTCTGAACACATGCAATTCAGCATAAATCACCAAAGCGGTCTGGCCTTGACACTGAACCCTCCGGCTTCAGGCTCAACAAACCTTACTAAGCTATTGCTTTTACTTTAAAGTACACCCCATAGGTGAGGAGTTGCAAATGTAAATCACCATAAAAGACCTGATTGAGGCATTACCCTTTGTAGCAATAACAAATTAAAGCATCTGCCAGATAAATATTAGATTAACTGCTAACAAGTCCTTGGCTATGAGATTTAGCTATCCAGGGGTACATTACAACAACCAGGACATGTACAAGGAACATCTCCACTGCTGCTTTCTTTAACATCAACTGGCCCCCTTAAACCAGTAAACGGAAAACAGATTGCAGCAGTAACCTCTACACATCGTGAACTGTGATATTTCTCATGTGTAACTTGGTTACAGCAGCTGCTGGGCCCTGAAGGTGGTAGCGAATGAAGTGAAGATGATTCATCAGACTGAAAATGAGTTAGCAGAACACTTATGCTAAGCTGAACACATCCATCATGTGCATTTGAGGATTTTTAAAGACAAGTTCAAAATAACTCCTTTCAAATGCAAAGTGAGCTTGAAACTTGATTTGATGTTTGATGGGGGAGGTGCTGACCGGCTGCTGATGTTATTGGATATTTCTAAAGCAATTACTGATTCTCTTCACAAAGGGAATTGATTTTCCTCCACAAAAAAGGTTATGGATAATGCCCTGAGGTACAGTGACTGTCACACTGGAATGCATCCCTGTGGAAGCTACACCTACTGCATCTCTAATACAAAACACATGATTTTCTCACCATCACTAGACCCCAGTGAGGTGATGAGCTTTATGTCATATCTAGAATATCTGCAGTACTCTAAAAAGCTGCACCTGTTTTACTTCAGCTCCTTTTTGTCAGGGACAACAGAGGCACAGCACACCTGCTCAGATCATATCTGAGGCACGTGCCATGAGGGAGCCTTTTTATGTGGGTCCCTCTAGATTTGATATCAATATCTCACTGACTAGACTAAAACTTTTGAGAGCTTAATGTGTACTCAGGTGTGTATTAATCCTTTTAATTCCTATTATCAGATGCTGACACAGCGTAACAACAGCATTTTGATCAACTTAAAGATATCGTTTAATTTATACAAGTAACAGATAAGGGGTATAATGAGCTGTGATAAGATAAGTTGCTTTATCTATGAACTAAACCAGAAAAAACTGGCAAACACTGCCAGCAGATGAAATCAGACAGAAAAAGAAGAACTAGGCAGGGCTAGTGAAAACTAGGTGAAAGGTAAACACCAACACCACTGAGGAATTTACACCACAACAAAGTATAAGCAAACTGCATTAAGGTTGGTTAAGCATAAGAATGCCCATTGCACCAGACCACAGACGCATGTTTCGGGTTGTGAAAATAAAGGTTGTTGCTCATTAACTTTGAGAGAATGACTTTTGTGCACAGGGGCACACTTGTGCTCAGAAAACGGCTATGAGGTTCAAGAAAAGATCAAGAGCCGTTGGATTCTTGGTGTTTCTACAAGCTCAGCTTATCTCGACTAAACATTTCCTGTCTGTATGACGAGTAACAAGAAGAAAAAGAAAAAGAAAAAAAAAGAGAAAAAAAACACAAACCCTGTGCTTTACACAACTCTGGTGAACATGACACCATGCCATATTGGGTTTAACTTCAGTACATGTGTTTAGTGTATAATCATGTTGGCTTTAACCTTGGTGAATGTGTATAGTGACTACAATAACTGAAAGTGTCATCATTATGTGCACATTTTTCAGGAACTCAAAAACACTTTAACTGAAAATGTGAAGCACTGTATCTTCTGTGTTATTGCACACAAATATCCTGCAGAACATCAACAACCGACCATCAGCCAAGCTTATATGCTGGCTCTTCTCACTTGCCCATGTTTTCATTTGGACAGATATTAAAAATTAAAGGTCTGTAATGTAATGTAAAATCTGGTATTGTTAAACAGACTGAAGTAATCCAGCTTAACAACAATTTTAAGACGTGATGTCAGACAGATATGCACAGTGCAGGTTTGAATAGCAAAAAATGCAATGAAAATTTATTTCATAAAACTAAGAGCTTCTTGTTGTGAAAACACTGGTCTCTTATAAGCTTGACATTCCAAGCCAAGATCCTTTTTTAAATGACTTCATTAGACTCTATGATGCTTTGATGGGATCTACAACTCAATCCACGAAAAATCAACCTGCGCTTCCACTTGAGCCCCTCAGATTCAGCTCCTTTTTTGTACAATAGCTGTGGTATATTCAATAAAGCCAGTTAACATTTGATATCAAAATGTAGGTAAGAATGGTACCTTTAAAACATCTGCCCAGAATACACTTTTTGATGTTTAGTCCAGTAAACTATATAATACAGATAATGCAGCTAAAGCATGCAGGGTACCAATGATTTTTTTCCCCTGTTGCTTTATGTCACAGACATTAAACTGGTACAGACTTTCTGCTGAAAACTGTGATAAATCCCATGACATTGATGCTCACAGTTACAGAAAAAGCATGCTGAACAGAAGACCGTGACACTTAAGGCGGCTGTTAAATTTATTTTTTCAGATTTGTTTGATGTCATATAGCATGACTAACTAGATATGTAGCATTACTTTGTTATAAAGTCTTCCACAAAAGAGGGAATGTGAGGGCCCATACTTCGACATCACCAGTCTAATACGCTTGTACATCATAAGCTCACTTGAGATTGACCCGAAGTTCACCTGAGCCACTGTGGTTTCCAGATATGACTAAGCAGAGGTGTACATGTCAGGCAGAAAACTTACGAATGGAAGCAGCTCATTCCCAAACTCTGGATGGGAACATCAAGCTGTGCACTCTGCCGCCGATATGCGAAATATGTTTAAGATAACATGTCAACAAAGCGATTAACTGTGGAGATAACAATCTGGCGCATACGGAAACCGAAAAGAAATGCGTTATCAAAGATGTATAACATTTCAATAACCATAACAATAACAAAAAAGATACGTCCTGCTTAAACAAAGTAAAATCCAATTCACAGCAGTAACAGTAAAAAAAAAAAAAATACAAATATATATATGGTACGTTTTTTAATAATTATCGAAATTATTTCTGAAAGCGTTATGTTCCTGTTAGCTATAACCACAGTAAGGCAAGTGGTGACGGTTAAAGCCAGCTAGTGTTTTGCCCAAGTGCAGCAGGTTTGAAAATTAACGTTAGCCGTGGCTAGTGCTCGCTAGCAGAGCACCCAGCCCTTCATGGAGTTGAGGACATAGAAACGGCTGCTGATGGTGCATGTTAACAGTGCTAACAAAGATGCGACCGTTTGTCTCCTCTTTGCAACACACTAAAAGCACCGTCAAAAGCTTGTTAAACATACCTGTTACTCCTAACGGATGTCAAAATTCCAGAAATCTCTGAGAAGCAGGAACCGACGGCTAACTTTCGACGTCGCACAAGCACCCGGTAACCGCTACAGTAGGGTCTAGAAAACCACCTCTCCCTCCGCCTCTTCCTCTTCGCGGGTGTACTACATTGATGCTCGCTTTATGAGCTGATGTTGCCTTTAAGGACTGTGGTAAATTTCACGACAACGCTTTGAGAGTAACGCCCATAATACCTGAGCGATGAGGCAATGCCAATCTTCTTAAACAAAATGCCGAGAGTAGGAGTTTTTGTGAAATGTTAACGTTTTTAAGGGGTGGATAGTTTGGATCACGTGGCACAGCTTTCCTTGTTTCTACAAGAGAATAAAACAGAGGTTTTGTTTTTCTCTGTTTTATATTTTAGCAAAGCAATTAAGGTCTCTTACACATATTTCTGAAAAATCTTGATTCAAGTTGACCAGATTTTTCTGAAGGTTTGCTTAAATTGAAAAAAAAAATGTGATTATAAACTCCATCAAACTTGCCTTGAGTATTCTAACTTCAGAAGGTTACAAGAATCTTTAATATTATTCTATAATTACTGTATAAGACATTACACTTCCCGTTTGTGTGACAGTGTGTCACGACAAACTGTCATGAAGAAAGGAAAAGCTTCCTAAAAGTAAGCCACTTTTTCTTTTCTTTTTTTACACAGGAACTAAACAGACACACATATGAATTTAGGGTTTATTACTGTAACCATAACAATAAGGTGGATCTCTCTTTATTTTGACCATCAATTCAATCATAATTGTTCTTTTTAATCACAGGCAATAGTTATAATAGTGCACTTTTTATATTTAAATTATGATACAGACATTTCTTTTTTTAAACACCTTATTCTACTGACCCTTATGGATGGAGAATAGTTTACAATCTTAGCCAGAGTTGGGTCAATGAAAAATGAAGGTGACGTGAAAGATGAGGTGAGCAATCAGTGTGTTTAGGACTGTGAGGCAAACAACTCCATACAGTTTCTCTTCTTGTGACAATGGGAACAAAACAGAGGTGAGGAAGCGGGACAGACAGGTCAAACGGACAAGGCATTAACACAGGAGATAAAGCCAACAAGCAAGTATTTGATGTGCTCATGTGTGTTTGTGACAGAGAAAACATAGGCCTGTTAGGGTTTGGCTGTGTTGGTTAGTTCAAAATCACTGGGTCAGTCGGGAAAATCCACACGTAACTACCTCAAAACGCATCCGCTGCAAAGTGCTCAGCCCACTCTCATTCAGTCGCCACCCACCCGTCTCGCACACAGATACCAGTTACCAGAGATCAGTGTGAGTCACAGAAACGCAAGATACAGACAAAAGCTCAGTGGGGACGTGAGATGAGAGCAACTGCTGCTATCGGAAAAAAAGAGTAAATAACAGGAACAGGAACGGGTTTCTTGGGTTTGTTATTGACACATTTTGTTGGCATGAAATCTAGTTTATAAAACAAATACATGACAAAACCCCCCCATAAATGAATAAATAAACAACAGACAGAAAAATCGACAGATTAGAAAAAATGACATTAAAATAATAAAGTGTAGCACTGTGTGTCTCTCTGAAATCCTTCTGCACTCTTGTTGCATATTGCACTGTATGGAAGACTGTGATGAACATCGACTAGTCTGATAGAGTACTGGAGTAATATATGTGACTGCCTTGAGTTGCTACGTCTGCTTGCAGAATGGCGACTCTTAGTGATGAGCAAGGGTGCGGCGATGGATACTTGGCTTGTCGGTGAACACTGAAATAACGAGCGTGGGGTTAGGAAGTCCTGTTCAACAAGAAGCTGACACCTTTCTTAAAGTCCAGCATCATGAATGCGTCCCATTGATGAATTTCCTTACTGTGTATCTTCTTTTTTTGTTTGTTTGTTTGCTTTATTTTGACATGAGTCAGTATATGAATACTATGGCAACAGGAGACAAAGCTTGACGAGAAAGGCGGTTTCTGTTTGATCCACAGGCCGGTGATGCTCTTCTCATTCAATCTGGGCGCAAACAGCTGTGATGAGGTTCATGAAGCTAATCACGGATAGTGACGACAAAACAAAGCTTTCATATATTACTGTTCATATTTCTGTTCAAACACTTTTCTTCAGAGCAACGAGGGTCCAATGCAAAAATCTTAGAAGCATTGTTTCATATTGTCTCTGAGTAAAAAGCAAATATAAAAGAATCGAAACACTTAACTCTGAATGAATGCCTGTCGGAAAAGCAGCTTCCACTGTCAAACACTGTGTGGAGTGTCTCAGTTGCTGTCTTTACTGTGATCACTGTGCTACTGACATCCTTAAAAGAAATGTGTAAACATAAATAAAAACTAAATAAAAAAATATCTTTTTTTGTTCACATTCACTTACTTAGCTTACTTTGTTGGTTTTCTTTACCTTAGGAGGAGACACTGCTGGAGAAAAACAGGACCTTCACTGAGCTCATCGCCACTCACTGGGGCGGCAGCAGGGTGCTAACTCTTTAGGATTCTTCTGCTGAGATGCATTCATATTTCTTTTTAGTGGGCGGGTTTAGATGTTGCTTGATAGTGATATGAGCGCACTGATTCATTTTAGGAGTAATCTCGAGAACCATCACAAGACTATTATTTATTTTTTTCCTTTTTTTTGGTGTTGGATACTGTAATACGATGATATGGTAGACTAGCCTATCTGATCATATCAGCATCCTTGAACAGGCTGATTCGCTAACTGGCATGCACATTAGCACTTCAAAATTCCTAGTTTGATCTGTGAAGCTGTACCTATGATATATACCAAACTGCTCATTCACGTATTGTTATTATTTTTTTTCATTAAAGGGCGGTTTGTTAACACTTGTTTCTCATTTAAGGGTAGGAATCCTGGTAATCATAAGATCGGTAGAATCTCGAGTTGGAAAAAATGTGCATGATGGGGAGGAAAAAGGCTCAATCCTTGCTCTGTGGTCAAGCACCTTCAGTAACTTAGACAAGGAAGAATAGGAGTAGCTCATGGCTTGCAGGGATACTTGGAGATGAAATTACACTGTCTTCTTTCTGGTGTAGTTCAGGCATCCTGCTGCGCAGTCTAACTTTCTATCCTACGGTTGGGATTGGGTTCCGTTGGAGGACAGCAGTCGGGTTCTCTCTTTGGCGGAGCCTCTGCGCTGCAGAACTCCCCCGCTGCCTCCTATGCCTCCGCCATCTGCTCGGTCACCCCACTCGCACCTGTCGCCCCCACCCTCGGAGCGCCTCGAGTTTTGGCGGGTGGGGGTCCCGTGGGGCCGACTGTTCTTCTCATCTGGGAAGGGATCAAGAGAAGAGAACGGGAAAGTCACTCTGAATGTTTACAATCCACAGGCTTCACGGGTCAGTGGCAGAAATGCAGGTGTGAATTAAGGTGATTAAGGTGGCAGCTAATCTTCCACCCTATGCTTCGCTCACTATAGTCTAGGAACTGTGAATCATGTCAATTATTATAGTCAGCTCCAAGAACAAATATAGATCTAGAAATCAGCTCAAAGACTAAAATTTAAACAGGGTGAATTTCTACAGCAGTGTGTGGAAAAGTATTGTGTGGTTAAGCAATCTTACCAGATAGGGCTGACACCAGTGGGTGATCATGGGAGCTGAGAAGCTGCGCTTGAATCGTTTCCACCACCCGTCTGAACCTGCGACTCGGACCTGAAGAGGAGTCACACACATTTAACTTAGGGTAGGTACTGTTCCAAAATAATATGATCTTAACGTCACCTGATTTTTTTTATACATCCAAAGTTATTTTCAGAGAAAAACCCTCAATTTGGTAAAAACAAACCAAGTTGAACCCAGTTTCAACTTAAAAATACTGCTCAAAAACATAAACATTTCAGGAAATGTTGAGTATTTTACTATAAGGTTTACTTATTAACCCTCTTAAACCCCTTTACTTATTAAACCTCATCTTGCTATAGCTTTACTTGCTGACAAGAGTATTATTGATTTGTTCATATAACTTTCCAAAGCAGAAAGCTGTTGAGCAGATTTGCAAAAATTGAGATTTTTTCAGGGAGCGACACAGTTTTGTCAAAATGTTTAACATTTCATTCCACCATTAGCTAATTTTAGCATCTGCTTTACTTGCCTGATATGAGGGTGAATGTCACGCTGTAAATTCCTGTCTCCCTCCTGCCCTCCCTCTCGTTTCTCTCCCTGTCCCGCTCCCTCTCGCCCTCGGAAAAGGCAATGTCCACCTGGAACTTGACGGGCTTCTGGAAGACGGAGGGACCGCCGGAGGATTTGTATTCGGCTCGGAAGCTGGTCTGTGAGAGGACGCTGTGACTGAGGGATGGGATCTGTGTGGTGGGGCGACAGAGAAGAAGCAGAGAGACCGACAGACTTACGAGGCGGGAGAGGTATGGGGACCGACGTGAGTATAGGGAGACAAAGGGTGAGGGTGAGGAGAGGAGAGAGAAAGAGTGAGCCATTGGTGAAAGCAAAGTGATCCATCTACATGCCACGAGTGAGCAAGATCAAATAAAGATTAAATAAAGAGAAAACTGAAATAATGAGAGAAATGGAGTGTGTACAGTATGAGAGCACAAGTCAGATCCAGCCAGAGCCATGCTTTGATCGCGAGAGCAGTGAAGGACAGTCCAAGTCAGACACTCACAGACAGGAAGGCGTGGACAATGTCAGCTTTAACAGAGCTCAGCGGTTTGTCTCTGATCACCACGAAGATCTGCTCCTCTTTCTCCAAGCCGATGAAATTCCCAAACCACGATTTCTTAGCTAGCCTGGTAGCCAGACAAAAGAAATACACAGCATGAGGAGACACAGACAGCGTAAACAAACGGCTTTATACCGTGAAAATACGACACCTCAACAAATATTTATCTCCAGGAGCTGGGACTCACTCAGGGCTGGATTCTGGCGTTAGGCTGGACATATCCTCTGATGTAGGAACTGTGAGAGAGATGAAGCACACACAAAAATTCCGCAATCGACATTTGACAGAATAGAGCAAAAGGAAAAACTTATAGATAATCCTCAGCGATTACAGAGATGAAAGCTGAAAAAGGAAACCAGTGTATTAGAAGTAATGAAATCTTCTGAAGCTATAATCCTACACACTAAAAGCATAACTCCCACAAAATATGAGAGCAAACATGCAGGACTGACCTTGCAATTTACGCCGATGGAATCTTGGTGAGCCCAGGAGGTTGTTCTTGAAAGAATTGAGGCGAGTCCTCCAATGGGCAGAGCTGCTGGCTGCCATGCCGCTCCCCCCTCCTGGACTGGAGGGTGGGGTCAGCGACAGTGAGCCCACCCCTCCCCCTCCCTCCGCCCGCGAGGAGGATGAGGACGAGGAAGAGGAGGGCGGGGTGGAGGAGGGGTGGTGAGGGTGGTGAACAGGGGTGCCCAAGGGTGTGGGCAACGGAGAGCCCTGGGGAGTGACCTGCGGCACAGAGTGGGCAGAGTTTGGGTAGAAGCTCTTAGTCACTGACTTTAGGACAGAAGAGGAAGGGAAGAAGAAACGGGGGATGGGTGACAGGAGTGGGGAAGGGGAGGGCGAGCGGGAGGATGGATTTTGCAGAGGCAAGGATTTGATGGGCTGTAGGTGGGGTCGGTTGGCGGGTCCCTTGGTGGGCAAGGTCTGGGTCTTTGGGTTTGGGGGAGCTTTGGGCTTGTCATGAGCCCGTGCTGAGCGAGGAGTGGTGGTGCTTCCCTGTTTGGACTCCTTTGTGAGTGGGGAAGCGGTGGCAGAGGTGACATCTGATTGGCTGAAAGTGAAGACGGGGCTCTGATAGGACTGGGGGGTGGGGGTTTGTCAGGGTGAGGGGGTGGGAGACATGGAAAACAAGAAAGAGAAGGGATGGAAAATGGAGAAAGGATGGAAATGAATATCATGCTTAATGACAGAAGAGTGCATCTTGTGAGGAGTGAAAGTGCCGAATGCAGTTCTCAGTGACGATCATAAAGTCTTTCATTTAGTGCATTTCAGTCTTTAGTACGCGCCCTTTAAATCTATTGAAAGTGAGGGTTTCGTGACAGTTGTGGCAGGGTTAAGAATGCAGTGACACAGGACAGTGGCTGTGAAGGTGTTACTATAGAGTAATTGCTGCCAATTAAGGTTTTTTTTTTTACCCTTTAGGGACTGTTTTTATACACTTTCAAGCACAATCAAACCATTAATTATCCAATAAAGCATCTAATTAAGCTGTCAAATTGTTCAAATTATCATATATAAAACTAGCTCATGCATGAGGAGGAAGAAAAGTGACATGAAGACAGAAAACAAATGCAAGCCTCCTGTTGGGTGAGACAATTCATTTAAGGGACCTGTGTTGTGATGATGTGTAAAAATGACTGAGAAGATATTTTAGGGAGTTGCGAGGAGTGAATATTTGTTTTTTTTAAAGCAGCTTCATGTAGAGACTGACATCAGCAAAAAAACCGCATTGTTACATACTGAATCAATAGTTGGCAAAGGAGTAATACTGAATTGAGGTAAACTAAATTACTACCTAGTCTGTCAACATTATCTATGAAGTCATTTCCACTGTTGGTTTACAGAGCTGTTATTGCCCAATGAGGCTAAAATGTACACAGTACCCTGCTGACACTGACAGCTGTCTGAACTGCAGGACACAAATATGAGACTGGACTTAAAGCTATATTATTGACAGGAGTTAAATAATATAAATGCAGACTACCAGAAATTAGCATTTTATTATGGATCCAGGTATAGTGTTCAAAGATAATGTAGTAAAAGTATGAACAAGTTGGTTTACAGAACCTTACCCTGGGACTACTGAGAGGGCTGGAGGAGAGACCGGTTGACGCTCCACTGACTGAGCGAGACCTGACAAAGAGACCCAAAGATTAATAGGCTGTTAAACCCCCCCCCCCCCCCCCCCCCCCCAAGAAAAAAAAACCCCAAAACAAAAACTGTATGATAATGAATTCTTGCGCTCTAATTCTGCAGAATACAGAGTGTATGTACTATATATGTGTAAGAAAAACATGCTATACCTCTGGCTGTGTGCAGCTGTGTCCAGGGCCCTGCGAGGTGGTGTAGGAGACCCTTGTTCGGTGACACTCAGGACCTCCAGGCTCTTCCTTTCGGGACGGCAACGGCCGTGGCGCGTCAGCATAGGGGAGTCGACGCGCTTTCGAGGAGGGTCTGCTGAGAAACGCCACCATAAACTCGTTACAAATTTTGTTTTAATTTTAAGCTTTGTGCTGTGTTTCGCACTTCAGGAATTTCTTCTGAAAAATTCTTTCACAGGCCTTTTGCTCACTGCGCCATCTGTGACTGTGATAAACTTAGCTTCATTTGCATTTACAGAATTGCTGTCCCTTCCAGTTTTATCTCATAGACAAAGCTTGCAGATGTCCTGCAAAGGCTGGTATAATCATGGTAAAAGCCAGCGACAACTTATAGTATTAAAGAAACAGGTAAACACACTAAAACTCCAACACAAGGACATTAAGGGCCATACTGCTGTATATTTTATCTCTAATGCTAATGCTAGTCAGTGCAGTCAGTGCATCAAGTAATAAAATTATAACTTAATAGTGTTTAAATCATAACCTCAAGTAATCCCTAATTCACTGGAAGGAGAACTGAGCATACAGGAACACCGCTCTTGAAAAAGTCGGTAAAATGTGTCTCAGACCGATAACTGTAGCGTCCTCTCTTGAGTGGATCCCTCCTGCCCCCTAAAGACTGACCTACATCATTGCGCGGAGGTAAGTCCTCATCCTCATAGCTGGGGTACCGCTCTTTCCTGTCTAGCAGAAGGTAATAGATCATTTTCTCCTGGTTTTCTCTGTTGGGGGGTGGGAGAAAAATACAGATTGAATGAGATGCTAAAATGTCATAATATTTATTTAAAAAGGAAATCTGTATGGATGCCACACAGCCACGCGATTAGCTTTTAGTAGGCTGTTCACACGGTCACGCAGACATGGATTTCATGACACAATCAGTTTATTTAACTGATCACACCAATGGGAAAAGAGCTAAAAATAAGCCACATACTCCTTCCTCTAACTCAACACTATATAGGCAAATAAGACAAGATAGGATGTTTGTGGCCAATATTAATCGGTTGCATAACGTCAAATATGCTGGCTGAGTGTTAAAAGGAGAAAAAAATACAACAACAAAAAATACGCAACAGCAAAAGCAAAATATACACTGAAAGAAATATTACATGCTTGTGACTGCATTGCATATTATATGCCACAAATGTTCTGATTTTTCCAGCCATTTCAAGCTGACGCTAGAAACCACAAACGTGTTTGGAAGCTGAAAGAAATGACTTACTCCTCACACTGCAAGTCACGTGTGAGCTTGACTCTGTCTCGGAAACAACCGAGCGAGTGCATGCTGTCCAGCACATCTGGGTCCAGCTCAGTCAGGGACAAGATTCGCCTCACACAAACCCGCCTTGGAGGAGGCTGCTCAGGACACGGCTCGTTACGACCACCCCTAGTAGGAGTCAAACAAAATGAAGCACATAGGAATGACACAGATGTACTGTACATGATTAAATACGATCACTTCAGCAGTCACGTATGAGAAAACGAATGTATACTCACAGATACCAGGAATGTTTCTGGATGGCCTCTAGCTATAAGGGGTGACAGGGCAGATGGGGCCATTAGTGTCTACAGTCTGTTAACAGCCAGATGGCCACAGAGCTGTGCTGTGTAAACAGTTCACATCACTTTTTTTTTTTTTTTTTTACATCTACAAATCTCACGATTGCAGAATATTACCCATTAAACTGGATCATAAAAAACATTTTCAACTCTGCAATGTTTGCTTTTGAAAGTTTAATCAGAAAATCACTTGTGTGTGTGTGTGTGTGTTAGAAATATTACTGAGCAAGTTCTAGATGACTCAGTTAAGTCCCCAAAACATGCTTTAACAGCTGCCACTACGATGCATCTTCCTGACTGTACAGTATTGCAATGAATGCGCCAATAAAACACATACAAAATGCAACTGTGCCACACATAAATATCAGCTAGAGTGCAGATCCAGCAAAAAAGGATAATAGGAAAGGCAAGAAGGATCATCTAAAAGTGAATCGAGACAAAAATTATTTGTACCAAAAGCAAGAGTCCCATTAAACATATATTTTATCTTACAGAAGGAGAGGCAATCCCAGTTTAAGGCGGGTGACTGAAAACAGGTGTAAATGCATGCTGCATCTGAGGTCTGGACTAATGTGAGCAGTCTCATACCGTGAGCCTCTTTTCAGGGTTGACCTCAATCATTCCCTTCAGCAGGGACTGACAGTCCGGGGGGATGAAGTGAGGCATGTGGAACACCCCGCTCTTTACCTTTTCCAGGAGCTGGCGTAAATTGTCGTGGTCAAAAGGAAGGGCCCCCTGTAGGGCAGAGAGAGAGAGAGAGAGACAAAAACAAGAAAGGAACAAAAAAACAGATTGCATTAAAAAAAAAAAAACACTGGCAAGCGTGGGATGTAAGAAAAAACTGCAAAAAACATTAGATAAGGGATTTTAAAAAAGACCAAAGTGCACTGTGAAAACACAAGTAAAAGACTTACCACCAGTAGGGCAAACAGAATGACCCCACAGCTCCACACATCTGCTCTCCGCCCATCATACTTCTCCCCCTGCAAACACACAAACACTTATGATTTTATTCATCGCCGGCCATTTCAATACAAAAGTGATTCACAAAACTTGGCACCCGTCACAGGATGATTTAGGCTGATTTCAGGATGAAAAACACTGAAAGGAACACTAAAATCCATTTAGTCAAACTCAGTCTAAAAATACCATGAAGCCAGATTTGAATCGACAACACTGGATAATCTTTTAAATGCTGAGTGTCCTAAAGATTTACTCATGCTAAAAGGTGTGAACGTTCAGAAAAACAACTCACGAGACAGACTGAACTTAACATTAAAAGTGTCATGTTACTGGTTAGTTTTCATCAGGGGTGTCAAACATAAGGCTCGGCCGCCAGAATTGGCCAGCCAAAGACGCCAATCAGGCCCACTGGAGAGCTATGGAAAATGTGGGGGCATAAATTTGACTTTTTATTGTATTTTCAAACTTTTAACAGCTTTTTGAAAAACCATTCATACTACACCAAAGTAAATAAGTAAAAGATAAACAATTAAATGACAGAAAATTCCTGTTTTTTCACTGTCTACTATAGAAATGTACAATTTTTACATAGGGTTCACCATTTCAAAAAAAACAGGATGCTCTGTCAAATAACAAAAATGTTCATAATCACAGACTGAGTAATAAACTAACAGAACTCTTTCTGTAATTTTATATATTTACTTCTTACAATTTAAGCCCAACACAGCATTTCTTTAGCATGCAGAAAAACTGTATTGTTGAAATTGCACTTTGTTTTTAAATATCAAAATATCTCTGAGATTAAATGTGTGATTTAACTTCTTTACACTCTCAGAAAGCAGAGTTTAACTGATCAAACACACTTAAGATCAAAGTGGACTGTACATGTCCCACAGTGTAAAATGGGTTTGACATCCCTGGTTTAGATCATGTACCTTTGGAGCGATTTATCTCTCTACAAAAAAATTTTTTTATTTACATTTCAAACAAGAACATTTGAGAATACAGAGAATAAGAGCTGGATACTTACCCGTATAACCTCAGGGCAAGCGTAATGTGGTGATCTAAAATCAGAAAAGGTTTGCCATTAATATTAGTGAAAGTAAAATGAGCACTGTATAAAAGAAGTCATAGATCTGTGTTGTAGACGCTGTATTTTTCTGCTGACGTGGAGCCTTTAAAATGTACAGAGTCATACTGCAAGTTGTTGAATTATATAACCCTGTTTATGTATGTACATCATCATTCATGAAGCTCACACACAGAGTTGATACTCACCCACAGCTGGTTTCTAACAGACTGTCTCCCACCTGCAGGGAGGCCATGCCAAAGTCAGCAATACGAATGTTGTTCTTTTCATCCAGGAGCAAGTTCTCAGGTTTCAGGTCTCTGTGACTGCACACATACAACCAATACTGTTAGAGTTGTTGTCAACATGATGCTTTAAATCAAATACAACTGCATGACTCTGAAAATGTGTTTGCACAATCATAATGTGTTTCACTCATTTAGTACATCAGACAACAGCTGTTGTATTGTTTAAAAAGAAACGCTCAAAATAGCTTTGTAAGTCAGTAGATGAGTCTTAAATCAACATCCTACATATGAACTTGACTCAAACACGGTTATTACAGCTCGGTGCAAAAAACCAACCAGATGGAATGACTGTGGCAGAAATCCAAAGCAGAGATGATCTGCCTGAAGAACTTCCTGGCCTCTTTTGGAGTTAGCCGGCCCTTCTTTACCAGGTAGTCAAAAAGCTCTCCTCCTGACACATGCTCTAACACCAGGTACCTGTCCACAAACAGGGACAACAGTGTGATTTGAACTTATGATTCTGATAACGCTTTTCCACTGATGTGGTGCCGGACCAAGCGCAGAGCCAGTTCTGCCCTGGTGCTTTTAGAGGACCAACCGACTTTTTTGACCAAACCGAACACTGCAAAAGTTTGATGTAGTTTCTACAGGAAGAGAATTAAAGGCCCATCCCGCAGAAAAGGATATCAGTGTTTGCACTTTTGGTGAAAATGTGGGAAACAGGTTCTTAGTTTGGCACCACATTGGTGGAAAAGTGGTGCAAGTAGTGAAAAGCAGACAAGATGCTAAGAAAAAACTATTTAAACTTAGACACTTCCCATGGTTTGATATAATAAGCTTATGATGTTGGATACTAGGACTACAATATTCAGGCTGTACTCACTTTCGGACAACCCATCTGTCTACTCCAACAGTTGTTTTGTAAGGGTATTAATAGATTTGAGACATACTCTTCATTAAGACAGACTTTTGAGAATAAAAGTAGGGGATGAAGGAAAAGTGAGACTTACAGTAACGACAGCAGATTATTACAGCTTTTCTTGAAATATTTATACTCATCCCACTCCAAAGATTAGTATGCAGCTAGAAAGCATGCAGACTGCATTGAGCCAAAGAGAAAGGCTTTTTCTGAATGCAGAGGGAACTCACAGATATTTGTTATTCTCGTAAACATCATGCAGCTTCAATACATGCGGATGCTCAATCAGTTTCAGAATGGCAATCTCCCTTTCAACCTGGTTAGAAAGAAGGGAAAGCATAGAGAGAGAAAGATTTTGAAGCGAGGCTCATGAGCGAGTTGTTTTTCACACATCTGAACGGAGGTTAACTGTTAACTCATACAGACGATAAATATAGTGAATATGGGACATTTTGTCAACACCTTAAAACACCATGCTATATATATATATATATATACATATATATGTATATGCATATACATATAAGTGTCATCATTAACGTCACTGTGAGCAACGCCTTCAACAGCGTCAGACTGTACCTTCATCAGGACTGACTCAGACAGCTTCTCTCTGTTGACTATTTTGATGGCTACCTTCTGACCCGTAATACAGTGGATCCCCAGTTTGACAAGTCCTGTAGATTGGATGAGAGAGATCATTATAAAACACAAGAAGGGTGGCGGGTGGGGGTAGAATAAAAGCGCAGTTTAAACACTACACAAAACACTAGTTTTAATTTCAGAAACAACTCGGCAATACTCACCTGTCTGTCCCTTCCCCAGAGTCTTTTCCAGTCGATAGGGCCCAACATATTGAGCTGACTGACTTAGAGACAGTTCCTTACTCATACTGCTCTTAACTGGAGGCTAACACACAATTATTACTACTTACTGCACTGTAGTTATTGCAATTACTGTGATATTGTACAGCTTACACAGAAGTTACTGTGGGAGACAAGACGATGCTCAAATTAGAACGACTGTCTTTTTATGTCAGCGGTAACACGGACTTTCTTTGAAGTCACTTCATGAACGTGAAAAAAACAAAAAACCATAGAAGTGAAAACTGCTGCTGATTTACAACACCTGGGTGGACGTTTTTCATCTAAACCGAGACAACACGGTAAACATAATGTTAATTTTTTTAATTATTTTTTTTTTTTACAAAACATCTTGCTATATGTAGAATAAAGCGGGGGGAACTGACATGGCATTAAGTTTTTAGGGTGTTTTCTGTGTTAAATACCAACCACTACTCTAAAGTAGGCAAACTAACGAGTCTTATTTATGTACATTAGCTTATTTCTATAACTCACACCTTGTTATACGTATGACGTTAACGATATATGACTGTTAATGAGAAACGTTACCCTTATATAGCCTTAAAACGAGCAGGTTTTCACGTCTGCCTTAAAATATTCATGTATTTTTCCTACGCTTAATATTATTTTTAGTTAAGTAAACGGACAAAACGTCCAATACGTCAAGTGTATGCTTGCACTGAAAATGAAATCACTGTTTTCCCCTCACTGCCAGGCCTGTTTCACAGGTCCAACAACATGCTATTTTAGCCTCGCCGCCGCTCTCCCACACAGCAGCGAGGCTAGCTTTAGCTTCAACGCCTTGACGAACGGCCGTCTCGCTCGCGCCGCCTGTCAAAAAAACCGACACCGCCTGAAGTTTCTGGGCTTCGCCAAACGGTACGATTTATTACACGGCCGCCGCATTCTCACAATACTTCGAGGTGAAACGCGTATTCCCCGCAAAACAAGCATCTTTTTTTAACGTAGCGCCGTCCTCCCCCTCCCTGACTCTCCCGTCTCTCCCTCTCTACATCCCTGCAAGTAGCGGATCACAGCATCTTCTCTTCTCTCCTTTGGCGTGTCCTCCTCCCCTCACCGCCGGGTATACAGGTGCAAAACACACACACACACACGCACACTGATATCCGCGGATATGGGTGCGCTATAACCAGCTGCCGTATCCCCCTCCTCGCTCCTGATGACAGTTCACGCAGGGTAAAGGCCCCTTCTATTACACTCCCTTCGGTTTTCTTGCCGTAAATCGATATTTTCTCTCCCCTCTTCCTTCCTTCGCCTCACTCGCATCAGCATCCGGGTCTCACTCCCTCTCCATCCTCTCTCCTCTCGTCTCCTCTCCTCCCCCGCCCTCCTCCTCCCGATCATCTTCCTCAAAATACGCCTATCTCTGCATTCACATCAGCACAGGCCACGCAGTGGGCTCCCGAGAGTTGCAGCGGACACCTCCTTCACTGTTTTTGTCATCGACATTTATCATTATCATTATTATTCTTTTTATTCATACATGGACGCAGGGAGCGGATACAGACGCAATTCGTTAGGGGATATCTAGAGAGTCCTGTTTTATTTGATCATTTATTCCTATGAGCTGTCAAATTTGAAGTGCACAACTTAGTGTAGCGTCGATAATTTAATCAAAACATACTAACATTTAACAATCATTCTGTGTCTGTTTCGTTGCACTGATTTTTTTTATAAAGAAAGATAGAAAATAGACAGTAACCATTATAAAACAAACCATGTCAATATATGACTACTTTTAGTTAGTGACTACAAAGGCATGTTTAAAATATTTTAATCAACACTGGGAAAAAAAATCATAGTAACTGCATGTCAAACAGAATGAATTTAGTAGTCACGTAGATCAGTGGTATGAAACATAAGGCTCAGGGGCCAGAATCAGCCTGGGAGAGACTCCAGTAAGATTCACTGGAAACGTTTGAAAAATGTAAAGGGCCCAGATTTTGGACGTTTAACTGCATTATAACACGTTTTACTGCTTTTCCTAATGTTAAACACCTCTCACATGAACATACTACACCAAAGCAATTACATAGTAGATGAATATTTCAGTGACAGTAAAGTGTTTTTTCTATCTACTATTGAGCTTTCTGTTTCTACAGAAGAAAAACAGAAATGGTACAGAAATTATCTTACAAATAAAATGTACACAATTTTTAAAATTTACACAAAGATTTTACTGAATTTTTTTCTTTACTGAAAGAAAAATGTATTTCTTACAATTTAAGCCCAACGACTCACATTTATTTATGACATATGGCACCCATTACAAGCTTTTATTCTACCAAGCAATACCTATTTTACCACAATCCACTGATGTTACTTTTTAACCGATAACACAAAGATAACGTTGAAGTACCTTTAAGTCATCTAAACTTTAGACAGTAGAATAAAAATACTATAGATCAAAAAAAAACAACTTACTTTTTTACATCCGAATCAATTTTGACCTGGAAAATTTCTGCAGGAGAAATCTAACTGCATTTTTTCTACCGGCAGAGAAAGAGTCCTAATGAGCATGTGCAGTGTAGCTTGTTTCTGTTTTGAGAAATTCAGTGTGCCACAAGTGTGCTACAATTGCCACTGATGTTAATCAATATCATATTATAATATAAATCATATTCTTCTTATTAGTAGTAGTAGTAGCATTCAAAAAGAATGTTCATTTGTGCACAGAGGAGTTATTTTTATAATCTTGAGCAAAAAAAAAATATAATAATGCGTAATAGATTATCAGTTTGCAAGACATTTTTACACGTTGCTGTTTAACCATATTGGGGTTATTCCATCTCTATTCCAGTGTGTTTGAAATAAAGCGTCCATCTGACCACCTCAGATCTGCATGAAACAATTCCAAGGGAAACCTACTGTTCTTAATGGAACTTATTATTTTATTATTATCAGAAAGGTTTATTTCCAATATTTTCTGTTAAAAAAAAGGAATTATGGTCTTTTAACTTTTTTCTAGCATTTTTTAAAAAAAACTATCTACAAAACTGATAAAACTCTTTGAGCCGGATCTTCTTTGTATTTTAAGAATAATAAAATGTTAAATATCTGGGTCTAAGGCTCTATGTACATGGGCCGTCAGGAGTGTAACTCAAGCTAACATTGAAAGATGGATCCCTGAATCCTTCAAATAATTGGATGTCCAATCTCTGACAGCATTTAAAGGCCTGCAGGAACCACAGTTTTGCAGGTAGAGGACTGATATTTTATTTACAGCTTCTCTGCACTAGGCACATAATATTCTACAAAACTGTCAAAATCAGATGATTGGTTTAGAGATATTAAAGCTCGAATATAATACACACACACACACACGTCTGGTTTGCTATCCTCGTGGGGACATCCCATTGACATAATGCCCAAGTCAACTAAATGAAACTTTCTTTTATACCTAACCATAACCCAACTGTAACCCTGACACTAAAACCACATTTTGAGTGACATGGATTTTGGTCCCCAGGAGGGCTGTTGGTCCCTTCCAGTATAGTAAATTTCAGATTTTAGTCACACACATTTTCATCCAACTTCAGTGGGAGATACCTCAGGTATTACACCATGTACCAAATCCAAATGAATCTTTCTTGAAGGAGCACATTTTTGTTAATATTATATCCAAAATTTGTGGTAGTCTTCTCATTTTTTCAATATAAAGTTTTGAAATACTCATGTAGAGCCCCTCACATATGATGCCTGTAAAACATGTAAAAACAAAACTATATGTACCTTCATATATGACTTATAGGAATCTCAAATTTTGCACAATTACAATTAAGAAGTTTATTTATTTTATTTTTTTTCAGACAAATCAAACAGAGTTAAGTGGGAGACGTTTGATGAACTATGATCCAGTGGTCACACTAACTTTAGTATCTGCCTTATTCTTTGTTAGAAAGCTTTAGGTTAAAATAAATGCACAAGCAATGTGCTCCCTCAGAATTTCACTTTAGGACAGTATTTGTTGAATGTACATGTTACTTTTAAATAGATAAGGCTGTATCTTTCTTGATTATTTTTTAAGTTTTAAGCATTGCTGCTGCTGATGTATAGACTGTTGTCACTAAGGACATAACAAAATAGGATGAACACAATAGTAAAGTAATCATCATAATTTCTTTGGCACACTGGCATGACTTATTGGGACACTTGGATCAATTAGAACTGGGCTTAATGTAATCACTGCCTTTTTTCATTGTGCCATTGCAAATTTGTATTTGTCTATATCAGATTTAGTGTTTTTTCTCTTCACCTTTATAGTCGGTTTTCAAATAATATAAAAATACTCTACTCAGATTCAACAGTGCTGATCATGGGAAATTTCCACTTCATTGACAACCACATTAAAAAATATTTTACAAAGAGCAGAACCGTTTAAAGAAGGCTGAACGACAAATGCCCTCGTCTGCAAATTTGGAGGGAAGCAGAGAAGCATTGGGTGCTGATTTGACTGAATCACTCAAAGATGACAGCTTTATTTTAAATAAATAAATAAAGTAGGACGTTTGAATATATCATCCGTAAAGTGCCTTGAAAAATCTCTAAAATCTCAGATTGAAATGTTGTGTGTGGGTGGATAATTCCCCAAAGCCCATCTTCATCTGCGTCTAGCTGGTTGATTTTCACGCAGCCACAAGGATTTGTCTCTGAACCACGGTGCAGAAATGGGACAGAAAGAGGATACTCATCCTGCTTCTGATAAAAAAAAAACATAATGAATATATGTAGGCTTACACGATAGCCCTGCAGGAGAAACTGAATGAAGTCTGCCAAGCCTGACATACTCTACACTGAATGCAGATACATTGTAAAAATCAGTCTTTTGTGGGATTTGAAGATGCAAACCTGGGGGGAAGAAAACGTAGGACAAGACATATCAGTCTGTGAATGATGTTTGCTTTTTGCATAAACCTGCAAAAATACTCTGTGCTAATTCTCTCTCTAGAACCCCCATTAAACGTCTTTTCCAGGGTCTTTCTCCACTCTGAGCTTAGTACATTTCAGCGATCCCCACACACAGACTACAGATGTAACATTACACTGCTCTATGTAGGTACTAAAGTGGGATTAAGCAGAGATTAACAAGCTCTTCTTAATTCTATTAAGTCGAACATACAGGTCCACCAGTGGAGAGCCTCCAACATATAATAATGTAAGAACACAGAAAGTGTGCTGCCATAAAGAAAGACAATATAATGTATGTTGAAAAAGGTTTATTGTAAGGTATCATACAAACTTGTTATCGACAGTAAGCTAATTAGTCTTAGAGTATAACAATTACAACAATTATAACAGAATAAGTAGAAGTATGGAGGTAAATTCATAAGCAACACCCCCCTCTTCAGTTTTCAGATGGTTTCTTCCAGCGTATTAAGAAGATGGGAAAGTGAAGAACCTGAGGTAAAGCTGTGATTGAAAAATATACACAAGTACACACATATGTCATTCAAAATATTCAGATAAACAGTTTTCCATCAAAGGTATATTCACACAACAGTACACATGCTACAGTTTCTACTGAATTATTTAAATTGTATTATTTTGTTTCATTTTCTTTTCTGCATTCGTTTTTGAACACAGTTTTATTTTGGCCTGATTATTCCCGACTTTTCCCGACTTTTGTGATTATGTCACAATCTTCAGCTTTTGCCGACTTAGAAGAAGAAAAAGAAAAATCTGTGTAAAAGAGTTTGTAGCAATTTCTGTGAACTTACTTTTTTTAAATTTAAATGGATCTCACTGTGCATCATGACCCCTCAGACAGGGTTTTTACACAGGCCTGGAAGGCATCCATCAGATCTTTACAGGTCTCCATCCCCTTGTCTCTGACACTGAAACACAGTGTGAGATTTAAAAAAACACACTCATCAGTCTCTTCTCTTTAGGACCTTAATTTGAACTTGTGCTCATATGAAGACATGTAAAGCAAATGAACCCATCTGAAGCTAAATAGGAATATTTCTAAATATAGTCCACATCAAAGGGATTATTCAAGTTGAGTCTGATAATAATATATTTCAACTCAGCCTCCACCGTGGCTTTTATCGGCCTTTGGTGGAGTACGAGAAGATGAGTGAGTAATCTGGAGAGCAGCTGTACTGACAGTAATCACTGCTGCACGTGGACACGGACTAAATATCTTCTTGCATGCACGTAACATGAACCAGCCAGCTGGAATGTACTGGTCCTCTTCAATAGGGTTTACAAGTGGAAGTCTATTTTAAACCTCATATATATTTATGCTTCTCAAGACATTACAGTATGGGTCCCATTTGGATGTTGTTATGTTTAAAAACTAGTATGAACTCTAAGTGCAGTCTGTAGATTT